TAATTTTATTTTGGCAACAAACGTATCATACATAATTCTGGAACAATGTTGTCCCCTACAAATTACTTGTGAGCTACATATGTAATTTTAAATTTTCTAGCGGCCACTTTAAAAATTAAAAAGAGATAAGCAAAATTCATTTTAATAGTGTGTTTTACTTAATATAGCCTAAACATTACCATTTCAAGATAAAACCGATATTAAAAAATTGAGCTTTATTACCATCTTTGAAATCCAACGCATATTTTATGTTTACAATGTATCTCATTCCAGACTACCCTCATCTCAAGTACTTAATAGCCTCTTGTAGCCAACTGCTACATACAAGACAGTACATCTATAAACCATACACAAAAAAAAAAAAAAACAAAGACAAACAAACAAAAACCAAGTTAAGTCAGTCAACAAAAAGTATTAAGTAACCACCCAAATAAAAAATAAAAGCCACGGAAGGAACAAGAACAAGAAAGATAACCCAAACAAACAGAAACCAGCCCCTCATAAAAGAAGTACCACCGATGATATTACCATCATGAGGAAAAAAGAAAAAAAAAAAATACCGAAAAAAGCAGCCCCCCTATAAAAAATAAAAAAAAAGAAAGACCACAAGAACAACAACAGAAGATAAGAAAGAAGAGACAAAAAAAAAAATAAAAAAATTATAAAAGAGGCATTATTAGGAAGAATACTTCACCTCCCTTCTTCTCCTCTTCCCCCTTCCCCCCCTTCCCCCTCCCTCTCCTTCATTTTTAGATAGAGTCTCACTCTGTAGCCCTGGATAGAGTGCTATGGCACCATAGCTCACAGGAACCTCAAACTCTTGGGCTCAAATGATCCTCTTGCCTCAGCCTCCTGAGTAGCTGGGACTAGAGGCACCTGCCACAATGCCTGGCTAGAGAGACGGTCTCACTCTTGCTCAGACTGGTCTCAAACTCCTGAGCTCAGGTGATCCACCCACCTCAGCCTCCCAGAGGGCTAGGATTACAGGTGTGAGCCTGTGTGCCCAGTCGAGGATATTATTTCTTACCCAATGACTAATGTATCAAGAATATGAAATTCATAGATTATGCTTTTCCTCCAGGTGGAATTGTTAGAATATTTTTAAAGTTAAGAGTGTGGAACACAAAATATATACTTAACAAATGAATGAGTAAATCAATGTACACAAAAGGCTTTATCTTTTTCCCAAAATTTCTCACTTGGCTAATTTAGGGGAAATAAGATCTCATTTGAGAATTCTGAGTCTGACCTTTAGTCACATTAGACCTGGTAAAGCTGATTATCTTGGATCATTGCTGCTTTGACACTACCAAATCAACACTGGGACATTTGTCTTAGGTACCTGCCCTTCTGTTGGCCCAAGCCTGGCATTTGTACATATTTTATTCTTTCAGCTATCAATGGCTATGTGCCTGAGAGCATACCCACTCTCGGCTTCTGCTTTGATGACACTGTCCAGTGGCATTTCTGCAGTGTGGGGACCCAGGATGACTTTTTGACCATTCACTTCACGGGGCACTCATTCATCTATGGAAAGAGGCATGAAGACACCTTGACCCTCTTCCCCATGCGTGGAGAATCTGTGACTGTCACAATGGATAATGTTGGTGAGTGAGAATCTGGACACTTGGAGAGGAAACTGGCTTTGAATCTCTGGTCCATAAAGAAAGGTCTGCTACAGCTCCCCAGATGACCACCACTCCTGTGTCCATCTCCCTGACCCTGAGAGCATTCTTTTCGATGTTTTTCTGATTTCTAATTGGGAAATTAATGACTTAAATGGGTCCAATCCTTTAATGTAGGTTCCATTTCTCTTTCTCTAAGAAAAGTAGGAAGACATACTAACCACAGAAAGATAAGCAGTAACTCTGAGGAAGAAACATAAGTGTTTCAGCCACCAAAGAACGTTTCTTTTCTCAAAATGCCCTTTTCAGTCTTTTAAGAAAGCCACCCCACCCTAGAGGGTGCAATCACCAGCTGCAGCGCCTTAGAGACTACCCCAGGGACAGCTTTGGAGTTTCAGGCTTGAGTTCAAATCCTGCTCCACCACTCAATCACTCTGTGACCTTGCACAAGTCACCTGGCCTCATTGAGCCTCAAGTTATTTAGTATTTGAAATCTAAACAACAGTATGATAATACCTTACGGAGTTGCTCTGAGCATTAAAATTATAATATGTGCCAAGTACCTAGCACTCATTAGACACTTAACAAATGGTAACTATTAGAGACTTCCCAAAAATCCTGTGTATGCCAGCAACTCAGACCACTTCAAAGAGATTCAAAATTGCCCTGGGCCCAGCCAAATTCTTTATTTCTTAGAAATACCTAAATGTCTCTTACTGGTAATGGTGAACTTCATCATCCTCCCTCCCCCCAGCTCCAATCCTCAAACAAGACGCACCGTTTAACGGGATGTATATGATGTTCAAAGTCCATTTTATTCTTGTTTCACCGCTTTCTAAAATAGTGACTCTCAATACTATTGGTGCTGAAGGGCCTTTCTCCCCCTCCCTAATCTTCACTAATCAATTCTTTTGGTATATATCCTGTTAAACCAGGTAAGTACATTTATCATGTGTTTAGGTATCACGGTGATGTCAAATTTCTTTTTTAAAAAAGTTTCAACACTTTATTCTTGGTTTCTCTCCTTATGTCATTATGGCCCAATAAATCAATAGTTCAGACTAGCCATGGTCCACATACCACATTGACTATCCTGAATTAAAGTCTACTATAAATTACTGCTGGCGTTTGAATGGCTGTTACTCTTTCACAGTTTATCCTTATGTTTTCATACTTCCCCCAGACTTTCAGCTTGCTTTCTGTCTCTCTTCTCTAGGAACATGGATGTTAACTACCATGAATGCCGATCCAAGAAGCAAGAACCTCAGGCTGAAATTCCGAGATGTTAAATGTATCCTAGATGATGGTGATAACTCATATGAGATTTATGAACCTCCGTCCTTTACACCCATGGAGACACGGAAAATGCATGATTTTCCAGATTATGAAGATGAAGAGACTAAGATCGAGGATTATTACCAGTACATGTTGGCTTCAGAATTCGGAATTAGGTCATTCAGAAACTCATCATTGAGTCAAGAGGAAGACCAGTTCAATCTTACTGCCCTAGCTCTGGAGAGCAGCTCTGAATCCATTTCCCCAAGCACAGATACAGTTATTGGTTCAAATTCTTCTTCCTCAAGTAATACTAGTAGTTTCACTGACAATAACCTCCCAGAACCTCAGAAAACTCTACCTTACCCAAAAGTCACCACAACTGGGTCCCCAGAGGGACATGTTTTTGGCTTAGATCATTCCACAGCAGAACATTCCAGGCCTTATTTTGAAGACCCTAGTGAAGATCCTCTAAAATCTTCTGATGTCACAGGAGTAAGACTACTTCCACACGGGACAAGAGGATTCAGACATCAAGAACATGCTAAACAGAAGGGACGCAAAGCAGAAAGGGAGCGAGCAGCAAGGCAGAAGTTCTCTTGGATGAAATTATCAGCACATAAAACTGGGAGGCATGTCAGCCACAACAGTGATTCTCCTCCCCCCAGGAAGGGGCCCTGGAAGGACCTGCCTAGTGACCTGTTACTCTTAAAAGAAAATAACCCATCGAAGATTTTGAATGGAAAATGGCATTTGGTTTCTGAGAAAGGTAGCTATGATATAATCCAAGATACCGATGAAGACATGGGTGTAAATAAGCCGCCAACCGGCACCCAGAATGCCTCCAGTTCTTGGGTTTCAGAAAGCACCCCCCTTATAAACAAACCTGGAAATCAGAGTGGCCACCCACAGTTCTTTAGAGTCAGACATAAATATCTACATGTAAGACAAGATAGAGGAAATAGTGGAATAAAGAAAAGTTCATTTTTGATTAGGACTCGAAAAAAGAAAAAGGAAGAGAA